AAAGTTTTTATTGATTTCTACCGGATTCTGAATCATTGATTGCGTAGTGTAGAGTTAGTAATACAAAGCAAAGATCTTAGCTGTGTATTGGGCATTTATTTAGGAAATTATAAACTTAGACAAAGCGGCCATTCACCAGACTTTGAATTACAGTGCTTATCTATTTATTATCAGTTTGTGATGAAAACGATCTTTAAGTCAAACACGAGTTTCGAATAAATGAGTTAAATAAGTTCTTTTGCCTAATTTGTGTTTGATGTTAACTTACACTGGAGAAAAATCAGAGATTATGCAAAGATAAACAAAAGTTTCATGATGACAAGTGAATCTTACTGCTTTTTCCGTAGACTGTTAAAACAGTGGAATATTTATAATTACATTGTCAATATTAAATTTTTAATTTAATACATAGATTAAATCCATTTTTCTTACAACTGATCTCTGCTTAATATATTTCGTCGTTTCCGTAACAAGTATGAGCTACATTCAGTTTTAGGCAAAAGACATTCAAGAAACTCCCCTAATATTAATTTCTGTTATTTAATCTGGAACCACTAACTTACTATTCAGCAATGCGGAGATAATAACCATTTAGAATTTGCTACAGTATTTCTTCACTCTTTCCAGAAAAACGTGATAAAAGTCTAACTTCAGCTTATTAACTAAGCACCCGGTTATTTCAGATGTTATGAATTGTCCTTAGACTAATTATAATGTCCGATTGCTCAATCTTTTGAAGATTTTGGTTGCTTGACAAAATAAAAAAATCACTTTTTTAAACAAATTTATCACAGATCCATATACTGGGTAAACCTTTCATGATATTGCTTTCTGTAAGCACAAAAACATCTTCAGGAAGCATTTGGAAAATTTACTATAATCATTTTATAAGAATGTTACGATTTTCTGTCAGTCAGTCAGCTACAACGTAGGACCAGGCACATATTTGCATCTGTCCAAGTTGTTACACCTCATTAGCACAACAAGATGAACACCATTTTCATAGAAGTAGCTACTTCAATGGTTGCAATGTATAAAAGAAAGATTGTGTATAAGGATATAGTACAGAAAGAAAGAAATAATTGGTAGAAAGAAAAGAATAAAGTAATTTTAATCCCACAGTTTAAGGGAAGACGAACAGTGTACACATAAATGCCACTGTGATCGATTCTGAGCCATGTCACAGGCTACAATCATTGGTTACAACAGTCACGACGACCCCAATCAAGTATTCTGCATCTACCAACATATCTCAAACTAGAAATTATTGACTTCAATGTCTGATGCTACCTCTTAGTTTGGCCGTCCCTAACTTTCTTCCAACCGTCTTCAACACGATCCAGTATTGCGCGTCGTAGTAATCAGTATTCAAGCAAATGTATCATACTATAGCAACTCATTTATAAACACTTTTCACTTTCACACTAAATCAATAAATCTGAATAAATACATTCAATTATAAAAGAATATTGAGATGAGCAATATTATATTAACCCATCATTCACACATACTAAATGTACTACTAATATACATTTATAAAATGGTATAAAAATAGGTAAAAAAATTTCTGTTTTGGCAAATTATTTTACAGTAAATACACAAACATACCAAAAATAGAAACCTTAAAAAATTTTTTGTAGCGAGACTATAATTTATGAACGAACCAATCAAGTATAAGATAAGAGGTTCTGGATTTTCACTTGAAATTCACTCATCCATTTGCTTAAATAGAGTTTTCGCATTATAATTGATGTCAGTTCGTGATGAAAACTTTAAATATAATTCAATAACCTTAACCATCATCTGTAAATCATAATTCTAATTCGTCACACAGGTTTATAACCCTCATATGATGCTATTCATTAGGTGGACACTCTTAAGGTTAATCTAGTGTCGTTCAAAGGTCATTCATAAATTATAATCTCCCCAATTTTTTGTTTTAAATACATGTAAATTCAGTTCAATTTCTGTATAGAGATATAAATTATCATTGATATTTACCATAGAAATATATACTAGACAAACTTAAGTTTTCTTTTGGTCTATAATAGAAAGGTATATTTATTAAAAGAAAACTACACTTAAAATGCTGATCTCATAAAAAAAACTATTATCCCTTATTTGTATTATTATTATTATTATTATTATTATTATTATTATTATTATTATTATTATTATTATTATTATTATTGAATAGTAACAAGTAACTGGTGGTCATATTTTAACCATTTCAGAATGTTATCTATTTAATATCAGATAAGTTTTTCAGGGATCCCCCTTTCTATTAGAGATATAAGAAAATTATAATAACATAATTCATAAAAATGAAATTTATCTTTGTTCATATATGTGTAATAATTATTTAACTTAAATATTTTGACAATATATAGACACTAACAAAATAAGTTAGTTATATTAAGGTAAAGAATTTACCATTAGATAATGGATATGTGGGTTTTTTTTTCTCCTTCTTTATTATACTTGTCTATATACACTGGGCTAGGTATATACATTCAAACAACAGAAAAGTATTGACCAACTTCTCTTTTCATCAATATGACAAATTTTCAACAACTGGTTTATTTTTCTGATATATACATACATATATACCAGTTCTCACTAATTTATTGTCTCTTTTATACTTTTCCTTTTTTTGTTAGAATCAACCAAACAAAATAACTTGCTATTTATATAAACCAATACTTAAATGAATAGTATTGTATGCACAATTTTGGTCAATATGTACAATAACGGTTATTGTATATTTTTTTACTCTCCAAAAAATTAAACAAATATTGAAAATTTACTGTTATTCTTACTTTCTTTATATACAAATGTAATATGAAGGTATCATTACTAATAAATTCAGCATTGGGTAGATTGTTATAAATAAAAAAATAAAATATCAAATGGGTTTTGTAAAGATCTGTTGTGAGGTAGTAACTCACTGAAGACAATGGTAAATGTATCGCTCAATTTCGTGGATTAGTTGAAGTTAGACATTAACACTGTTGGATGCTAGCTCGGTGGTCTAGTGGTTAAGTGCTCGTGCGCGAAACCAGTAGGTCCTGGGTTTGAATCTCGCAAGGGGTGAGGTTGTGGATGCGCACTGCTGAGGAGTCCCACAATAGGACGAAACGGTTGTCCAGTGCTTCTAGGTTTTCTATGGTGGTCTAACTTCAACTGACTCATGATCTTAACCATTCAAAAATAATATATATTTATAATAACCAAATGAGTGGAAAAATTAAATTTTCTTATGTTTCATAACTCAGTGTAAGCCACTTCTTCAGAGAATAAATAACCAAATCAAAATGAATCCAAGTTTAAATAGTACAATGAAACAACATGTAGTATGAATTATCGTTAATAATAGACGAATAAAGATTGTTTTTATTAGTGTTTCAAAAAAAATTATATGTTTTGTTTTATAGGTTAATATAAACAAATAGAAGTTTCACATCTAATATATATTAGATGATTAAAATAAAAATGAAGAGCCTTTAATTTTTGGTAAAAATCTGTGCGTTCAACTGAAAATAAATGACATAATTTAAGAGTAATTATATAAACACTTACCTATTAGGACACTGAGTAGGATAAATAAAGATACTTATTATGCACTTTCGAACATTATAAGAATGATTGATATAAGTGAGTTATTTCTGAAAGCTGTTCTTTTTAATTTTTGTTACAGGGATCCAATAAAGGCTCTGAAAACGCTAAGAAACATCTTATCCAAGTTGCATTCAATGGAAGTTTTGCCAAAAAAAAAATCTAGAAAGTGAAAAGTCACATGTCGCTTTTCTGATTGGATGATTATCCATACCGCTACTATGTTTACTGGCGTTTCAGAATTTCCCAGGAACCCAAGGCCATCTAGAATAGTATAAATACCCTAGATCTTCTATACATAAACAAATCTTTGGAGTAAAGCGTTTCTTCCATATTTCGGGCTTGTTCTCTTATGTTCAAGTTGCTATGTAAATTTAGTCTGAGGGTTACTAGAAAAGATTATCGATCGAATCTAGCATTTAATTAGAAGACTTATCAATTTTGATAAAAATGCATTGCACAATAGTACAAAAAATAATTTATTCCATCTAACAACCAATTAGAGGCTTCATTATTTTTTATTCCAAAATGTAATCTACATCATTTTTATGAAGTACATTTGCGTTCACCTACCATATAAACAAACATTTATAAATGGACTTTAATTTCCTGGGGGTTTTTTAGTGTTTACAATACTAAATGACAACTGGACATGTAAGTTGGACCAAATTGTCTACAAAAGCATTTCGTATTTTAGGATTCTTATAGTCTAAAGTGGTTCCAATTTGAAATTTACATGAATATCTATTTATCTTATATAAGAATAATCTTTAATAAAAATAATTGTTTACCTGCATCTTTACGACAGAATTTTTTCAGTTTAATTCTTTCTTTATTTGTACTACATGGTGGACAGTTTATATCACCTGTAAGAAAAAAGGTAATAATAAAAGTAATTAAAACTTCGGTGAGACTTTAATTTATGAATGACCTTTGAACGACACTAGACTAACATTAAGAGTGTCCATCTAATAAATAGCATCAAATGAGAGTTATAAACCTGTGTGACAAATTAGAATTATGATTTACAGATGATGGTTAAGGTTATTGAATTATATTTAAAGTTTTCATCACGAACTGACATCAATTATAATGCGAAAACTCTATTTAAGCAAATGGATGAGTGAATTTCAAGTGAAAATCCAGAACCTGTTAACTTATACTTGATTGGTTCGTTCATAAGTTATAATCTCACCGTAACTTCATTTCCGATTAAAAAGAAAGAAAGTATTAGTCTACTTCATTCTTTAGTGAAGTAATTTAGCCATTGAAGAGGATATCTTAACTAAGGAAAAGAAGTAACTCCAATTTCTTAATTGATTTCTGTATGATGAAATAGTAAATGAAGTTCAATAAAAACAGGTAGAAGTTAAAGCAACCAATCTTTGTCAAGCTTCCCTCAGTTACGTTAATAACTAAGGGGCTGTTGATAAAGCCGTTTCACATCAACTTGGTCTGTAAACTGGTTCCTTTTAATAGCCTATGAAAAATAGGGTATAATTATATCATAATTGTAAACGAACTTGTTAACCAATAATATCTTTGAATAAATGAACGGGAAACAATTTGTTTTTCTTGATAATTAACTATAATATTTGTTAGCTGATATGGTTACCAAGAATCTGTAGTATACTTAGCTTTCAGTTCACGAGATGGCTTATTACTTTTCTATAGTAAACAAAAATCTGAATATATTTGAGGATACTAAAATTGTTTAATCATAACACAAATTGACCTACCTGGTGTATGAGCTAAAGCTACTGCTCGAGATGTGAAATCTAGGAAAAGAGAAAAATATAAAAGCGATAACAATTTATCAATACGATTGATTAGTTTCAATGAAGTATTTACTAATACAAAAAAGGTATCAATTGCAAAGCAAATGGGAATCACCATGGGTATCTGAATGGTCAATTTATAACAATAATTACATATTGAAAGATTAACTATATTTGACTAAGTGAAAACAAGCTTTTTTTCATTATAAAAATAGCTGTAAAAGAATGAATAATAGAAGCACGTTCATTAGTCTATGGTAAATAGAATCTCTGAAAATTTTAAAACCTTAAAATCAAAGCAATGACAATATTTGTTGAAAATTCTTCATAAGTTGATGGTAATCCGAAAACAACTGTTCAATAACCATTTTCGTCCTATCTGTGACTCGTCAGCTGGATGTACATGCATTCCAGAGTTGATGTTCATTCTGGAACTCGAACTCAGTACTTCTAACGCCATCGCATTATCAACTTAGCCAATGAGTCCTGACAGCCAGCTGCTTGTACAATGGGGTGAAGTTTAAGCTCACCTGGTGTTAATTACTTGAATTGATATTTAGGACTACAGCTGATCACTATTTCGTTTGCATATGTGACTTAACGCAATATTGAGGCAATCCGCACAGGATGCACATATACTAATAAGAGACTGATCAATTGCAGTCCTAAACAACAATGGGAACATACAAGCAAACAGCAACAAGTGAATATATTCAATGATCAGTATAATATTAATGACTGGTATTTATTAGTAAATACTTGATGATTATTTTCATGACATAGAAATTCATCCAGTTCAGTAACTATAGAGTTACATGTTTTCGGATAATAAAAGGAATTTATTTACATTTTAGGGTATAGATAAAAAAAACAGATAAAAACATTATCGAATCATCAAGTGTTAACAATTAGTTCAACTGAAATTAACTAAATCATAACATAAAAATAACATTTTCATTGATATTAAGACGTTCAAGGTTTTTTGCTCATTAAACCTTAAAACCTTAAATCTTGAACAACTTTTAAATTTTACACATAACATCAGAATTTAGATTGAGCGTAAAATCATGTGAATGACTTATAATTCATATACATAATATATAAAACATTAGGTTAAAAACTATTAAACATAATATCAGAAATGGGTTTTTGTGGATATTATAGTAATTTAATAGTTGAGATCATCAGTCAACAGAAGCTAGATTACTACAGAAAACCTGGAAGCACTGGACAGCCGTTTCGTTCTAGTATGGAACACTTCATCAGTGTGCATCTACAATCCCGCCCCGCAGGATTCATACTGTCCTTTAGTTTCGATAAAATATTTGGTTTCGTAGTCATCGTTGTAATTTACCCAACAGAACCAGAATCAAACAGTCATTTTCACTTAAACAATTGAATAATACAATTTATTTTGCGGTTCATTCAATCGATGAACATTTTTGTGTAGTAAGTTATAATTTTCTAGTATAAATCTTAAACAGAAATTAAATTTTGTAAATTGGTTTAGGTTAGACATTCACACTAATGGATGCCAGCTCAGTGGTCGTGAGGTTAAGCAATCGCACGCTAAACTGATAGGTCCTATGTTCAAATCTTGTAAGACGGGTTCGTGGATGCGCACTGCTGAGCAGTCCCATAATAGAACGAGCTAGCCGTCGAGTGCTTCCAGGTTTTCCACAATAGTTTAGCTTCAAATGACTCATAGTCTCAACTATTGAAGAAACTAAATTATTAAAACTGCTTGATTATTGATACCCATCAGGATAGAAAAGTATAAGATGACATAAACAAGAACAATATGAAATTAGGCTAAAATTACTATATGTCAAACAATACAAATAAACCTTTCTTTTACTGATTCAATGAAATAATTATAATTATTGTCCAACAAATCAGATGAAACATAAATTAAATAAGAAATAATTCAATAATTGATTGAACAAAATCAAATGATTCAAACAAAAACAAAAAAACAATTAGTTTTAACAGAATTTTGTATTGAACATTCACTTGAAGTTTGTTTGTTTGTCTGTTGTTGTTTTTTTTCCCTTTTACATTCAAAGAAAATTAATTTGTATGCCAATTTTAAATCTTCCTTTTTTATTTATTAAATTTATGATTATGATATGAATGAAGATGATCTATAACCATAATTGGTTTACTTTTATTTTCCGACTAATATTTATGTTTAGTTAGTTATTTTTATGAATATACATGTAGAATTTAAGTAGGAAACTATAGAAGAAAAAAAAGGTTGACATCTGTCATATAAATCATTATATGTGTAGTTTTGTCTTTTCATTTAAGCCTATTATTGTATACATTTACATAGAGAATAAGATTTATGATGTATCATGTATACAACAATACGATGAAATAGGGCATTAATTATCTACAAGCTTAATACAAGTCCATCATTGATGAACAGGGTGGATCTGATCCAGATGTGAAGGCGCGGATCGCCAAAGCAAGAGCAGCATATTTACAACTGAGGAACATCTGGAACTCAAAACAACTGTCAACCAACAGCAAGGTCAGCATTTTCAATACAAATGTCAAGACAGTTCTACTGTATGGGGCGGAAACCTGGAGAACTACGAAAGCCATCATCCAGAAGATACAGGTGTTTATTAACAGTTGTCTACGCAAAATACTTCAGATCCGTTGGCCGGACACTATTAGCAACAACGTACTGTGAGAGAGAACAAACCAGATCCCAGCGGAGGAAGAAATCAGGAAGAAGCGCTGGAAGTGGATAGGACACACATTGAGAAAAGCAACCAACTGTGTCACAAGACAAGCCCTCACATGGAATCCTCAAGGCCAAAGGAAAAGAGGAAGACCAAAGAACACATTACGCCGAGAAATGGAAATAGACATGAAAAAGATGAACAAGAATTGGATGGAATTAGAAAAGGAGTCCCAGGACAGAGTGGGTGGAGAATGCTGGTCGGCGGCCTATGCTCCATTGGGAGTAACAGGCGTAAGTAAGTAAGTTAATACAAGTCAATGATGAAATGTTAAAGAAATATATATTTTGACTAGTTGTAAGATAAGTGAAATTGTTTTAACAATCTTAAAATGTTATATGAAGATAGAAATACATTTGTTAATAATGTTATAAGTTTTAATTTAATTAATTAGGTAATTTAATTATCATTAAGTGGTTCAGATAGATGTTTTAAGTATAGTTGCGATAATCCAGTCATAATAGTTTTAAAATTATCACTTATGACGTGTCTGCAAATGCGTTTTATAACAGGTTCTAAAAGATTTATCAGTCACTTTTCTATAGAATGTTAAGGGGATCCTGACATATTAAGAACTGGTTTGAGAGATAGGCCAAGTTGGTGTAATTTTGGCAGACCGTATAATCGCGGAATTATTGATCCTGTTGATTTTATGCGCTCATTTTAATTCTTTTAAGAACTAATCAGTTGCTTTTCTATAATTTCAGTCTTGTTTTTCTCATTGATTAGTTTCGAGAATTCGGTGTCATCTGATAATAACTTTTTCATCTTTTCGACATGAATTTTGAGTTCTAGTAGCACCTTTATCTGGACGTGTTATAATAAAGTTCTTATTGTTTCTAAGTAGTTTTAGTTGATTTCTATGTTCTTTCGTTAAAAAACCTTTGTCTGTTACTTATGTGGTAATATATTGGTTGCAGCTATCAAGAAGAGTAGATTTGAAACGTTGGAATTTTTGGTCAGAGACTGAACAAAAACCATTTGTTTGTTTGATTAAATTTTCGAATTGAACATGTGTGGATTTCATTAAATGCCATGTGCAAAATGTTATCGATTCTATTAGTCAACATATCCCGTTATTGGGATTTAACATTTTGCAAAGATCTTCTGTGTCATATGAATTATCACCTAACGAACACTATTTTTTCACCAAATATGTTACCATAGTTACTGACAAACGCACGAAAAAATTAATATCGGACCCCACTAAAAGTTTGAAAACCAAAGAAACATAGAATAAATTTCCTAGCAATCCTGAGATGCATATGTTTAATCATTTTTCAATGTCCTTAACAAATGTACAACTAGAGGTTTTATCTTTGGGAATAAAATTCTGCGACATAAGTTGAAAAATTAATAAAATCCACGCATGTATGTTTCTTGGTTCAATCAAAACAGGCGAGCGATTATATACATAAAAATCATTGATCATCTACTTGCGTCTTATCTATTGATGAATTCAATAACTATATGTTTTGATTATGTAGATAGATGGGAAGCATTTTATCACTGGGCTCCTGATAAGTAATATTCCGTTTTATAAACATTACAAATTTTATTGGCTTGTAAACACTGGTCAAGTGTTAAATGTAAGCTAGAACATTGTAAATTACCTACTCATTGATGATGTCATAAGTCATTCATCTTTATGCATTAATTCGAACTAATTCTTCAAATCTAATTTATTGATGTCTTATTGGTACATATGTCAGTATTCCTCTTGTATGCTTACAGCTAGAACAAAAACTGACCTACCATAATTTATTTCTAGGTGAATTCACCTGTGCTATGTTAATCAGGTTACTAAACACGACTTATTTACAAAACACTTTGGGTTATTGTGCGCATTATCTACAGCATTAATGTGGACAAATCTTATATGTTTAAGTTTTTTGCAATGATATGCGTGACTGATTCACCATATGAAATAGTATGAATGGATTTTCGAAAGTTTATATCCTTTGGAGAATTACTCTTAGTTACGTAATCACTCATGTGTGGATAAACGTTGAATCATGTTAATACAGTTGATAATTTATAATCTTATGATAAATAATTTGACCCTAAGATTAGGTACCATAAAGTTTAAAATTATGGCAAACAAATATTCTTTTGACCTTTGATGATTCATACAAAGTTAATTTATTTGAGAAACTTGATTTATAACTCGAAAGCTTGAGAAGAAAATTATTGACAGTCATTCTTACAAATATTACCGGTTGTCTGAATGTAGAATTTTATTTTACTGTGGTATGTTATTGATGTTGAAGATTAATTTTATCACAGACAGTCAGAACAATCTTCATTCTGAGTAGTTAGGCCTTTTTCATACATTTATGTAACATGTAATAACACGGGTGAATACCAGCTCTGTGGTTTAGAGGTTTCGTGTCCGCAAGAGAGACCGAAGGTTCTCGGTTAGAGCCTCGCCTGCGGTAACGTAGATGTGCATTACGGAGAGGCCTCATAATAAGACCAAATGATCATTTATTAATTGCAAGTTTTCAATTGCGGTGTAACTTAGATCGGTTCGCGATTTCAATGAAATAATAAAATTCTTCTTCTAGCTGCACACAATTAAACATTCCGTGTTTCCTTACTATATGGACATTTGCAAATAACTAGTAGTTGATTAAGAATAATTATTGTATACCTGAATATCTAACCAGTAAGAGTCTTGAATTCTTGCCTATTACAATATCCTCTTATTCTAGTGATAAAATATTGAAAATGGTAGTGAAAAATATTTTAGTAATGATCAACACATGGGAGTCTTAAAGTTCATTTGAATTCTCCAAAGCTGTTGTTACCAAATGAATTTTGTCTGACATATGTTGAAGTTTAAACTATTATTAACGCTTTATTTTCAATGTAATACGCTATTATTTTTGGTTTCAAAAAGTAAATTGAACATATCTATGTGTGATCTCTGTTTATTTATATGCAGTGATCCTTTAGTCATGTTTTGATATTGAATGGAACTAATGATTAACGAGTATATTATTTAATTCTTTAGTGAATATTCTAGATGTTTTTTTATTAGATGACTAAAAGAGTGAAATATATACAATATCAGATTATTTGTTGCAAGTGAGACAGTAGCTCACCTATGAGAACAGATGATGATTGAACTATTTCGAAAATTACATGAAGCTACGAATGAGAATCACTGAATTCCACCTGACTAGTAAAAAGGTATTGAACTGGCCAACACACGAATTTCCTCTTTTGAACTCATCTAGGTTTCTGGGATTGTTCTTGATGTGTTTCAAACTTTTTAAAAAATAAGTGTTTAGAACTACTTAGTTTACATTTACTCGTCGAATAATTATTGATCGTCAGTTAATCAGTCAGACATACGCGACGTATGTATACATTGCTTCGACTTACCACACTCCATTAGCTCAGTCAAATAAAATTATCAAGATAAATCTCAGAACACTAGAGGTAGTAATAGTGTTGGTGCGAAAAAAAAAAGATTAGGCATCAAAGATACAATTCGTGAAGGGAATATAGATTTGTTGAACAGAAAAATTTATAAGGTAAATAGGAAACTCAAAATCTAAGTGAAGAAAAAAAGTGATAACCCTTGTTGCACTCTTGTGAACAATACTAAGTAACATCACCTAATGTCTCAAACAACTAGCTGTGGCAATCATGCAGACATGATAATATTTCTTAATGTAAATTATCTTCATTCTAGATATAAGTTAAATAAATCGAAATTTACACAAACCCTCAGGTTATTAATTATAAATTTGCTTCATATAGCATTATTGTTTACCTTAAGTCCCTAAAATTGATTCTCTCCTAATTTGAATATATAGATAAAATTGTACTCATATTAGTATTATATTTAGATTATACATATCAAGTTATCACCTAATGATGCAAGAAATATATCAAAGGCTTAGAAATTTGAAGGAATCTAAAATGCACAAGGAATTTATACGATAATCAAGTTTTTTTAATGAAATGAAGTTTTTTATTTTCTAGTAAACAGATTCATGCAATATTCTTATGATAATAATCGGAAAAGGGTTTTGTGGAAATTATAGTAATTTAAAAGTTGGATTCATGAGTCAATTGAAGCTAGACCACCATGGAAAACCTGGAAGCACTGGATGGCCATTTCGTCTTAGTATGGGATTCCTCAGTAGTGCGCATTCACGATCCCGCTATTAGGATTTGTACCTATAACCTATCGGTTTCACGCGCGATCGCTTAACCAGCTAGACCACTGACCCGGTATCCAACGGTGTTAATGTCGAACTTTAACCAATCTAATTGTGGATGCACACTGCTGAGGAATCCCATACTAGGGCGTAACCAACCGTCCAGTGCTTCCAGGTTTTCCATGATGGTCTAGCTTCAATTGATTCATGAATTCAACTATCCAAATTTTTATGATATTTTATGTAATTTAAATAATCATTTTACTGTGTGTGAATAAAAGATTCTGGAATAAAAGTGTAATTCCCTGAGAATGATATCATTTAACTTGTCCAAATTCCTAATCATGGATCAAAATAGAATTCACATTTTCTTTTAATTAAACTCTAAAATAGACATGAGAAAATACATAATTTACAAATTCAATCACATTTATGTAAAAAAGAAAACTTAATCATTGACATGAAGAATGACTTCAAGCATTCTTTCAAACAAATTAACAGTATTCTAACAATGAGTAGTTTCATAGCTTGAATTATACCAGTAATATTAGAAAGTATTAATTATGTATTTAAAAGAAAAAAAAGGACTGAAATTGATGGATGGAAAATATCGAATCTTATTAACTATAAGTCTGAAAATTAAATAAAGAATGAATAAAGCTACTGACAATATGATTTAAGTTTGCCAACCACTGGTTCAGATTTTCACATGAACGTAACTGCCTATTTTTTGTTTCACCTAAAATAGTTTTCGTCAAAAATCAGCAATCTTTATGAATGATGCGGTACTTCTTTTAATGCGCACTTGGTGGTTTCACTGTAAATAAATATCCCCCCCAACGATATCTATGGTTAAGTAGTGACAGAACTCACAAGTCCTTCAATTCCGTATATTTAAAGTTAAGACATGATCAATGCTAAGCAGTATATCCGATATTTAATAGTATTCAAAAGAAGTTTGGTAATCAGAAAATTATTTTTAAGCATACAAGATTTTAAAACAAAGAACTTCAATAGCATACCTTTCGTACAAGGATTAAGCGGAGAACGCGTTTGATGATAGCCATCTTGACAACGATCACAGGTTAAACCAGCTACACCTTGTTTACATCGACACTGTCCACTTCTTCTGTCACAATCATGACGGACAATAGATCCAATTGGATGACATCGACAAGCTATGTAAAGAAAATTAAATAATCTTTTAACTATGAAACATTTAACAAAAAGTGTTGATAATAATATTTAATATCCCAACAAATCATTCTTGATTACAGAGTACACTCTTCACATTCAAAGCTTTATTAATAATGGAGCAAGATTAAATATTTGAGAGTAAAGTGGTATGAACATACAAATCATAAGCTACAAACCTGATTTTCGGTGCCAGTTTGTGAAGTGAAGCTCCTGTATACAATTAAGGTTATTGATTGATAAGTATATGGATCAAAGACCAAGAATTCTTACAATAAATAACAAAATTATTATAGAATAATACAAGGAACAAAGACAAAGTTTAAAATGTTAGATTTGTTACAGAAACTAGGTCACACAAAATGTCTATTTATAAGTCGGTAAATCAATAAATCAGTCTTAACACTTAAGAGGAAATTAAATCATAAAATATGAACGAGGAATGATTTATTAGTGATCATCAAAGTGTCAATTAGCGCATGATTGTCATAGTCTTCTATCTTGATTATTCCAAATATATCTGAACTAACTAGATTGTTCTCTATGTTAGTCAGCTGGTGAGTCATTCTGCTAAACAACAAATATACAGCCTGAAATCCTCTTGTACATTAGACAGAAAAGATCCCATTCACGTCTGCAGAGGTTCGCATATGTTTGATAGCCCAATCTCAAGTTACAAAAACTATCAGTTTTTAACTGATATGAAACGAAATTAATGCTCTACATTAGAATTTGTTAAACTCTTAAGAGAAATTACTGAATAAAGTGGAATTCTTCTGTTCACAATTGATTAATCACTGGGTGGTGATCAATGTCATGCCTGTCTAGTCCTTATTAGTGCAGATCGAATGCTATCGATCATGTTGCAATGTGGCCACCAGTCTAAGTGACTCGACACTGCGGGCACTATGTATTGAGATTTTAGATGGTGGTTGGAGGTAGTGAACAGGAAACCCTGGACCCGGGTTTCGTGCTACTTGGCACTCGTCAGCAAGGTGTACCTGTAATCTTGAGGGAACTGGTGCTCTCTGACGGATTCGACCCCGTATCACCCAGCTGACGTGTGCCAAGTAGCACGAAACCCGGGTCCAGGGTTTCCTGTCGACTACCTCCAACCACCATCTAATCTTCTATTCAGTAAATAATAAAAAATCAAACAAGCAAGCAACTACACGTTCAACAAATTCACTTTAACTAGAGTACATCCATCTATATCATTTTTATGTTAAAGTAACTAATGTAAGTTATATCTATTTATAATATACACTGACAGTGATATAACAATAATATTATCATAACATTTTCACTGAGAGTAGACAATATTTAGTATAATTTTTATGAGGACAGTAAATAGAGATTCAATTCAGCAATTAATCAAAGCTCAAAGGGGATTAGAATTGAACAGAACGCATATATTAATGAAATCTAAGGTTTATATTTTTAACGAAGAGACAGTCAAAACTAAATTACAGATCAATGCATAAATTCCCTTGAGATATGCATAAATGTTGAAATTAATTTATAGCAATAAAATATTTAAATTCATTTGGTACTGTTTACTTGAATCTTCCCATTGATGTTTAGAACTGCAATTGATCAGTCTCTTATTGACATATGTTCATACTGTGCATATTGCCTTGATAATGACTTAATTCACAATCAATGTAAGCAAAGATGAATAGTGGCTATCAGTGAAGTCCAGGACGCGTGTTTTGTCCTATTTAGGACTCGTCATCTGGATGTACCTGCATCTCAGAAATGATGTTCACTGTTGATGTTCCACTGCTAGCTACTATCCATCTGTGCTTCTAACTATTTACTTTTTAATGACCTAATTAAAACAACTGTGTTAAAAGTATATTAACGTTAAATGAATGATCATATTAACTAATGCATATAAAATATCAATAAACCAATTCACTGAAATGTTACGACGAACCGTTCGAAAACCTTCCAGTCAACAACTTTTTTTATATTTACGAATCAAACAAACACTTTGATGAATATACCACTTAAATAAATAAGTCAAGATTGATCTTACGTTTAAACTTTATAGATGAAATGTTGAATTTAAGAAACTATGTGGTTATTATGAAATCCAGTTTTACGGAAGGTTAGTCTTACAATGGTTGTGAGATGGTGGAGAAGATTTGTAGCTCAGGTGGATGATTTTGGTGGAGTTTTGTTCTCTGAGCTCAGAGAACAAAACTCCACCAAAATCATCCACCTGAGCTACAAATCTTCTCCACCATCTCAAAATCATATGAGCGTAATACGCTTCTCGTTGTTCGAAAATGGGAGAATTTCGCCAAAAGGCAGGCTTCAACTCGAGAACAACTATATTTTCTCCATGAGTGTCTTCGCCAGCATGTTCTACCAACAAGTGTAAGATATAGACCCCCAATCAACTGCCCATTAGGATGGAGAATAGCTGAGCAAAGTGGAAGAAAAATGGTACACCTCATGATAACGGATGCACACTACAGGATCAGCAAATACCAACACGTCATAGAGGACCAAAAGATAAAGCTACAGAGGATGCTCACATCAGAACATTTGGAAATCGTTACAATGGTTGTATTATACACAGAATATTGTTTTTATCCATTCTATTACTGAATAAAATTATTCGAATGAGTTTATTCATACATTGCATTATTCATATTGTTAGTATTTATAGTTGAATAAATTTTATCCATCAAGCTTAAGTATCAGTAAGATTTTCATTAAAAACCATCTAATTCAAATCATTTCATGAAAGTAGTGAAAATTGACTGGAAACCGTTGATAATCGATTCTCGATTCTATTGTAAAGAAAAAAGTTATCTAAATACTAAGTTACTTATAAATATAAATTACAAACTGCTTGATTAGTTCAAGTTACCCATTACAGTTCTAGTCATTTCAGTAATTCATATCTTTGATCAAAATATCACCGAGTATAGTCTTGATGGGCTTAGAATCAAATATAAATTATATGTATTTGATTCACACTGGTCTGTAACTAAATGTGAATAATGACCAATTACCACACACTAATTACTTCATAGGTGCATAAGAAATGTTTCTTTTTAAGTGTTTTACTAAGATCTATTTTAATACTCAGTGATTACGCAATAGATCAAAACATTGAAAATGACTTCCTGAGACAACCTGAGACAGCTCATTCATAGGAAAAAATCTTTCAACAATCACTATTTATACATTTTAAGCGTGAGATATCATTCACATCTTAGGTTGAATGATATGTCTTAGTAGTTATGATGATCTAACTTACTTTCAATGTACTTATTACAGAGAAAACCATAAAATAGCCGTCCGGTTAAAGTGGATAATTAAGATGAAACTTACCCTAATATCCATGTCAAAAAATCATTAAAAAAAATAGTCTTTGGTGTTTGATAAACATATAAACTAGATTTTTAGCTAAACTAAAAATACATCTTATACGACAAAGTTTGTAAACGGTTGAAAACTCATTTTGACCTGAAGATGTCTTTTGAAATTTCATGTGATACAGATGAAAACTGATAAATACTTACAGTGTCATTGCACTTACATCTGCCAGTTTATATGTATACACTACAGTATATATGTGGGAGATTTATTAAACAGATAAAGAATTTTGATAGTCGAGATCATGAGTCAATTGAAACTAGACCACTATGGAAAACCTGGAAGCACTGGATGCCCGTTTCGTAATGTTGTGGGATTCCTCAGCAGTGCACATCTAGTGCTTCGAGGTTTTACATGGTGGTCTAGCTTCAAATGACTCATGATCTCAACTATTAACACTAATACAATATCCACAAAAACCCCTTCACATATCCAATTGTTTGCATTACTGTACCTCAGAATGTTTCTCTTTCGAGAACAGCGAATTATTTAACGATCATGTACTTAAATATGAACACTTAATAAAAATCAGAATTGAAACTTAGATAACAAATGAATTCCGAGAGCAAAATGCTAATAATTAGGAGTTTGAAATCTCAACTTTATGTTCTCAAGGAGTTAGTGCACTGTTTCTACCATCAATAGCATCGCTTTTAAGGTATATGAATAGTTACTGTTTTGCTTCATTGGTATCCTACACTTATCAACTTAACTTTTCTCTGTTTATTACCCTATGTAGTCAGCTATTTCCAGAATTATCTTCCAATAAGCTTAACAACTTCTAAATACGTTTATTGGGTTATAATTCAACTTTACTCTCAATTAGCTTTATTTTGTGCTATTTTTTAGTTTCGATGTTTTCTTCAATGAAAATAAATATTGCCGAATAGGTTATTGTTTAAGAAAAAGTAATACGATGCAACCAAGATGTTGGTCGACTAACTACCTCTTGGTTATCAGCGCTTCCTTACCATATATTCCTAAGACCCCTATCTTTTACAGAGAGTCTAAGGGCGGTTGCAGAATAAACTGGAGAATATCACTAGGTCCGAAAGTCGTTATTGATAAGATGCATGTATATAAATATATCAATGGTCAAATCCCTCGAGGTATAATCTACCAAAGAGAAATCAAATGTCAACTGATATTCATCATTGAGAATTTCAGGGAAATCTTGTAATAACTCCATAGCGATTAGATGTTTTGAAACTGAAGAAGCATTTTTTATTTAACTCATGATTAGGAAATCAGAGAAAACTAAACAAGCTATAACTTTCAATTGACACTGAATTTAAATTTTGTGAAATGACCGAAATATCTATTTAATGGTAGTTTCCGTTCATTCTCTTTATTTCTTTATTTAATTGACAGAATAATAAACACAAGTATAATTAATTGTATGTCTTCTCGGGTATCATTACGTGTCATTAATGATTTGGGTAGTATTTTTATGTAATAAAATAGTATTTTTTTTACTTTTTGGACATTGTTGTTCATACTGTTATAATCTATTGACAATGAAGTTTGCCAAAACAGAATAACTAAGTCCATTTACATACAAAATGTATAGAGTAATTTAAAACTATGCATTACATTTATTCATTTTAATTAATTCTCGGGTATTGATCTCCTTCCAGGAGGTCCACTTATCGACTTAGAATACTCAGATGATATAGTCCTGTTCGGTGAACACGCTGATAAAATTCAGAGTCTTCTGGTAGCGTTAAGTAACAATGCCAGAATGTTTGGAATGCATTTCTCTCCCTCTAAATGCAAGTTGTTGCTTCAGGACTGGTCTGCGTCAACTAAGGATAGGGAGTGAAGTAGTCGAACGTGTTGACAACTTCACTTATCTTGGAAGTCTGATCAGCCCTAATGGGTTGATGTCTGACGAAATCTCAGCACGGATTCGAAAAGCTCGTTCGGCATTTACCAACCTACGTCACCTATGGTGAAGGCGAGATATCAGTCTATCAATAAAAGGACGAGTATAATGCGCGGCAGTCCGTTCTGTTTTAATTTACGGCAGCGAAACATGGCAATTAAGAATAGAAGATATTCGTTAGCTACAAGTATTTGACCACAGATGCCTCAGAAATATAAATCGCATCTACTGGGATCATCGGGTAAGTGATAGTGAGGTTAGACGCAGGGTATTAGGTAATTATGGTAAATCAAATGATGAGGTTGTGAATCTTCATCGACTGAGATGGTTGGGCCACGTGTTACGTATGCCTGAACACCAACTACCACGACGTGCAATGCTAACCAGTGTTGGAGATAATTGGAAGTTAGGGGTGGCCAAACCAAAACGTGGCATCAGTGCTTGAAGTCACTAACGTTTAGTCTGAGCCATGCTGGTAGATGTAGACTACATGGTTGGGGTCCGTGTGACTATCGTAACCAATGGTTGGAGACTCTGTGTGACATGGCTCAGAATCGATCACGATGGCGTCGGTGTATACACTCTCTGTCTTCCCTTAAACTAAGAGATTAAAATTGCTTCATATCTTTCTTTCTACGAACTAATTCTTTCTTCCTGTACTATACCCTTATTGCAATCTTTCTTTTATATATTACCGCCTCTGAATCAACTACTTTTATGAATCCGGTGTTCATCTTGTTGTGTTAATGTGGTATGACAACTTGGACCGATGCATATATGTTCCTGGTCCTACGTTGTAGCTGACTGATTGGCTGACTTTAATTAATTACATTTGATTATAATAAAAGAAAAGAAATTTTTTTAAATGAAGCATTATAAACTTACGTAAACAAACATTTTCATGACTGATTGGTTTAGTCCAATCTCGATAATAACCTTCAGCACATTGATGACAATTACGACCAACTGTATTATGTTGACAATTTTCACAAACACCACCACTTACACGATTAGATAATAAATAAAGTGAATTTGAAAATCGGCATTCATTTGAATGAAGATTACAGTCACACTCTAAGGTAGGAAATGAATATATAAAATATGTTATTATGATAGATCAGCCCAAATATTAAATTAAAATGTCCACAGGCTCTTTGAAAAAATTTATCAAAATAATGAAGCGTTGTTAGTTTAATAGATCCTGTAGAAACTTACGTCACTTATGGTGAAGTCGAGATATCCATGTGTCAATCAAGGGACGAGTATACTATCCAGCAGTTCGCTCTATTCTACTTTACGGCTGAGAAACGTGGCCATTAAAAGTAGAAGATACTCGTAAGCTACTAGTATTTGATCGCAGATGTCTTAGAAATATTGCTCACATTTGCTAGAATCACCGGGTAAATAACAGTGAAGTTAGATGCAGGATATTAAGGAATGATGGTAAATCGGTTCATGAGGTTGTGAATCTTCATCGACCGTGTGTTACGTATGCCTGAACACCGATTACGACGGCGGGCAACGCTGACTAGTGTTGGGGATGGATGGAAAAAAGTTGGGAGCGGCCAAACCAAAACGTGGCATCAATGCTTGAAGGCACTGACTTTTAGTCAGAGCCATATTGGTAGATGTAGACTACTTGGTTGGGGTTCGTGCTAATATCGTAACCAATGGTTAACTGACTGACTGATAGTACAAGAAAATAGACCGTCAGAATATATGTTCTAAATAAACTAAAATAAACACTTTAGTAAAAATGCTTGTGGATAAACAAACACATTTAAAGCAATAATTATAACACAGTCAAACGCTCAAACGTTTAGGTCACTTCCTTTCTAACTCTATAAGTATTGTGATAAACAACCATTGTCTTACAATTATAGTAACTGGGTAATTGAGACTCTTAAATGTAGGTACTTAGGCCCTGTTGTAACAATCTTACAACTTATTTAGGTGAATGATACCAAAAAAATCGAATATGGACACTCAAATCGTTGATGTATTTTCTTTTCGATCTGGCCATTGAAAAAGAATGAGAGAATCCTATCGAGATTATTGCGTTTAGTAAGTGATGTACGGATAAATTACACTGTGGAAATCATCAAACTGTATCATAAGGCAAGACCTAACTTTGAATCCTAAAAGGAAAAGAAAAAGAGGAAGACCAATGGACACACTGAATCGGGAATCGGAGACTTCAAAAGAATGAACGGAAACTGGAAAGGATAGCGCTGGATAGAGTTAGATGGAGAATCCTAGTGGATGGCCTTTGCTCATCCAAGAGGAATAACGGACGCAAGTAAGTAAGTTAGTACGAAAAAAGCAGCGGAAATCTTTTGACATTAGAGGTGAATGGCTAATACTAAATATTGTAAAATATTAAACAATTATATTTAATAGATAATTACAATTTAAATGGATTTTAAAGAGCAATTTGTTACTTATAGTTCTTCAATATAACAAAACTTGTAACAGTAAATCTATCAACCCTTATTCAAACAAAATGACACATGCATATATATATATATATTGCCAGTATTTGAATTAAAATGTTTCAACTGAAATATCTTAGTGAATATTATTATTCGCTTTGAAACATTTTTGTTACTGTTTGTTCCATTCCTCTATACAACTTAATGATCATAGCATAAATCATCTATTTTATTCAAACAAAAACTCATCATCTCAATGGTAATTTCACCAGTATATGATTTATGATTGATATGGTTTCTTCAATAATCCCTTGATACGATGAATATGAAGACGATATAGATCATCTAAAAAATAACTATTTTATAGTTGAATTCATGAGTCAATTTAAGCTAGACCACCGCTGAAAACCTGGAAATACTGAACACCTGTTTCATCCCAACATGGGACTCTTCAGAAGTGTTCATCCACGATCCTGAGCGTGGGACTTTAATCTAGGACCTTTGATCTCACATTCAAACGCTTGACCTTTAGGTCACTCCGCTATTTTATACTATTTATTTCTGATGACAAAATTTTATGGACATATATTTGAAAAGAATAAACTGTCAATTAGATTTTCTTGCTTGTATAGATTTGATTTATAGACAAACTAAATAAAGGGGTGAAGTTTATTTTAGAAGGGTTTTGAAAATTTATGAACTAGTTTGTATGTCACAGTGGTGAAATATTCATAAATGAACAACTATAAACATATTAAATATTACACTCTTTTAATGAAAATGCTAGTTGAATTTTAAATAAGAGTTATCAGTCAAATACTTTAAACCTTCATAAAACTCCATTCTAGTCAATAATAATCCTCATTGATATACAAAAGATATAAAGATAGAATAATTTTGATCAAAATAATTTAAGTAATATCATTTATTTCAATGACATAATATAGTATGTATAATATCGTTTACTGGATAGAGAATATAAGTAGTATATTTATTTATTGTTTTATTAAGATCATATCCACAATTATAATAGGATATTTCCTTCCTGTCATATTCAGGAGAAATTAACTATTGAACAATTTGACATTTTGAATTATCGTTATTATAATGTTAACTTTTAACTTAAAAAATTTCCCGTTTTCATTTCACTCTTGTTAAAAGAGAAAGGAATAAATTCATCTCAATAAAATTATTTTATGTATAATTTATTATATGTGATTTGTATGATAGTTTAATATCCTTATGTTTTTTATGTTACTCAAATCTTATATAGTTTTTGTTACCAATAAAATTTTACGACTTTTCATCACTAAGCAAAGATGAATAGTGGTTAGCAGATTAATCCAAGACGCGCGTTTCGTAATATTTGGGACTCGTCAGCTGGATATACCTGCATCTCAGAGTTGATGTTCACTCTGAGACTCAAACTCAGTACCGTTTACTCTAAATGCCGTCACATTATCCACTTAGCCACTTGCTTGTACAATAGGGTAAAGTTGAAATTCACTTGGTATTGTTTTGCTTGAATCTTCCCATTGATGTTTAGGACTACAGTTGATCAGTCTTTTATTGGCATATATGCATCCTGTGCACATTACCTCGATATCAGGACTCAGTAGCCAAGTGGATAACATGATGACATTTGAAGTGAATGGTACTGGGTTCGAGTCCCATAGTGAACATCAATTCTGTGATTCAGGTACATTCAGATGATGAGTCCCAAATGTACGTCCTGAATTCCACTGTTAACTATCATCCATCTTTGCTGATAAATCTTATCATTTAAAATACTATCAAGGCAGTCTGCAAAAGATGTACATATGCACACAAAAGATTTATCAATTATTATTCTAAACATTAATGGAAAGATACAAGCAAACAATACCAAGTTGAATTAACAAATAATCATTTCAAATTAGACCATTTTTTTTACAGTTCATTTAACAGTGAATTAACCCTTTATATCTTCTAGACAATATCTAATTTGTCTATATACTAAAATAATGAAGGTCAAAGTTAACTATTATTAGTCTAAAAACTTTAATTATACAATTGAATATTCATTCGTTATACTTCTCAAATCTTCTTTTTTCTTTTTTGAATAAAAATTTTATTTATGTAATAAAACAAAAATGAATTCTCAAATGATTCAATATTTATATAATAAATGTCAAATTTTTATTATTCCCAATAGTATAAATAATAAATTTTATAAAGATTTATTACAAGATGAATCCATTATCAGATTTTTTTAAAGTGGCTTTAGTTTGTTTAAAGTTTGATTTATTCGTAAATAACAGAGATAGTAATTCAATGGTTGAAATAATGAGTCAATTGAAGCTAGACTACTATGTGAAATCTGAAAGCACTGGATGGTCATTTCGTCTTAGTATGGGACTCCTCAGCAATAAGTATCCACGAAAACCACTCTTAGGATTCGAACCTATAAGTTTCGCGTGCGACTGCTTAACCTCTAGACCACTGTCTAACCTCAACCAATCCACAAAAGTGTAGTATTGTTTAATAACTACATATAAGATAATAGGTATACCTGTAGTGAACAAGAACACGAGTGAGGGAGCAACTGAATGTAATATGAACACAAAATCACAGAATATCTTACTAAAATCTGAGAACAATACAGTGAATAGTTAATTTGCAAAATATCAATCCATCGTTTCTAACTTGAATGTTCCTTTTGTAAATATCAGTTCATGGTTTCAGATTTCATTGTTCTTGCATTTTCATACTAATTACTCTCTGTTCTCGTTCTTTTCCTTTCGATCTTCCACTGAAATACATTCTGTCTCACCACCATTATATACTACTTATGTAGATATAATTAGTTCACACCACATACCCAATGCATGTTAGATACATGAACTTACTCAGAAGAATTTCAGATGACAGTTAAAGTAAACAAGCTTAGATTCATAAATCACTTTTTTTAACCTTATAAATAATATGACAGTTCCTAAGGCAAAGCTAAGAAAATCTTACGTATTAAAAGGAACACTATTTCTAAATGATATATATTTTCATATAATGATACTTTTTGTGTAAGAATAATAATCATTCTATTACTTTGTTTTACCAAAATATTCATAATGATTGTAATATAATCTATAACGTTTATACTCTTGAGTTTATATGTAATTTCACTGGTTGAAATCATGAGTCAATTAAAGCTAGACCACCACGGAAAACCTGGAAGCACTTGACGGCCATGCGAGAAATACAAATCATATATCATGTAAATATATCTGTAGCAAAAAGTAAGGTAGAAGCAACAATGAAAAGATCATTGATTTTGTTATGGCATTAGTTAAATCGTTTATATTCTCCTATATCTTAGCTGAACTAGAATTCAATTATTACACAGAGGTTTTACTCATTTGCTCATTCTAAAGTTTTATACAATTTACTGTAGGTTTTTTGTAATGAAATAAATTGTGATAAATCACAAACAACTCTATTTTTAAAAAGATATTCAAAGTCTTGTATTGTGATATGTGCTACTAATGTCGACAGATATAAGTAGTATGTATCACCGATCAAAAGTAGAATGCCTGGAGGCAGAAGATTAAGAAAATCGATCAGAAGAGAAAGAGGACAGAGAATGATTTGCATCACTATGAAGAA